CTGTCCTTGCTTCATTTAACCAAGTTAACTCTTCTTCTGGCAATCCTTCTTATCTCATTAGGTCGGCGCACAGCTGCTCTTTGGTCTCTCTATTCTAGACGTATACCTATCTCTTCCTCGTTACAGTTTCTTTGCCTTTTCCTATTGTAAGCGTCTAGCTCTCAGACTAGCTTTCGTGGCTCTATCCACCGTACTATTATCCCAGCGCCCTAGCCGAGCTTCAGCCTCATAAGATCTGACGTCCTCAGTAAAATTAATGTATGGTTGCATTCTTCCAGTTTGCAGTCGTTTTTTCATTTAACCTTCTTTGGCTCTCCTCCGGAAACTCTCCTTATCTCATTAGGTCAGCCCACAGCCGCTCCTTGCTAGATGCTCAGTTATCCCTTGCTCAGCTGTGACACCTACTTATATTGTAGTCTAGCTCTCTTAGTGGCTTTGCAGGCTCAGGCTACCTTATTAATATTTCTTTAGCACTCTAGCATGGTTGGACTATCTGTGCGCCGTCGCGGCTTAGCCTCTTAGGCTCCGCACTAATCAAGACGTTTAATGTACGCTTGCGCTCTCCCAGTTTGCTGTCCTTTCATCACTAAAACTTTCTTAGCTCTCTTCTGTCATACAAACATAACTCAATTAGTCAGCGCACAGCCGTTCCTTAGCCTCTCATTTTTAGACGTGTATTTATCTCGTACACGTTGTAATGCCTTCGCCTTTTAGATCTGCAAGCCATCAGTTCTCGGACTGCTTTCCCTGTCTCTAACTATCTTGGTACTATTATCTTAGCACCCTAGCATGATTTGGATTATATGCACGCTGCTGGGCTTTTGCTTCATGCTCTGATATCCTCATTAACCTTAAGGTATGCTTGTGTTCCGCCCATCCGCTGCCCTTTTGTCAGTTAACCACTCTTACCTTTGTAGTTCATCAATCATATCTCATCTGGTCAGCATACAAACGTCCGTTAGTCTCTTATTTCTAGGTGTTCAGTTATCACCTACTCGCTGCTAAGTCTGCGACACTTACTCATGTATGAGTCCAACGTACGCATTGGCTTTTCCTGGATCAGCATACCCTAGTAATAAATAGATTGGTATATTTCTAGCTTGGCTAGAAGCTGCACGCTTAAGGGTTCAGATCAATAGTTACATTAATCCTATGCTGTTGCATGGAAGTAGGCATAATATGAGAATATGTTCCTAGTTGGCAATTACAAGTGCATTGGCATGGTTTGGTGTACAGCTGATGGGGTAGCAGGCGCCCACCTTGAAATTTTTCTGGTTCCTTCAGGAGCTATTGAGCTCCTTGTTCTTTTGTTGTGAAAGTTGCGCCTCTAGGATGCCTCGTTCCTCTGCGCGACGTTGCGTATACATTTGTTCCGCACATTCGCCTTCCTTTAATTGATTTTTATTACTTCACTTTTATCCGTCAAGCCTTTCTCACCTAGTCAGTGCAGCCGCTCCTTAACCACTCATTTGCAGGTGCTCTGTTTCCGTCTTGCAGCCAAGATTTGACATATGCTGCTGTAGGAGGTTAGCTCACACAATGGCTTTTCTCAGCTCAGTCGGCCATAGCAATACAGTCTTAGTGCCCACATGTCTTCTTTTTGTCTTGATCCCCGAATCCTTTCAGCCGCGCTTGCGTCCTAGCTTTTCGCTGCTTTACTACTAATTGACCTTCAAACCTTTCTCGTTGCAAGCTAGTTATATCTCTACCTACTTATTCTGCGCTCCCTATCGATGTAGGCTGGCTACCAGCTCTTCATTCACCATTCAATCGCCGCCTGCTTTTGAACTCTGCTTTCTGTTTTCCCACGCAATAGTTGCATCACATTCAACCGACACTGGGTGAGTTGATTAATGGCGCAACGCTCTGTACTCCAGGTAGACAGTAGCAATCTACCTAAAAGCACATTGCTTTTCGTAGAACGCTCAAAAGACACTTTCAGCACAATCATTGTTGCACATTGCACATCGTTTTGTCCCCACTATAAACGTTATAACATAGGACCTTAACAATATCTGGCACCACTTCTTCTCTTTCCGGCTTACTGGTCCCTCGCTTTCCCTTTTCTCCGAGGTCCAGAACTTCTTGGTGCTCTGGGATTGGACTGGGAAACCGAGTTTTCGCCCGGGACAGGACGTAATAACCCACAAGAGCCTACAAAGAACATGACTGTACACCAAATGGATACAACTGCACTCACTACCACGACCGTTGCCCGTAATGCTAGCTGGAAATAATGCCTTGACATTCTTGAAAAGTATATATATTACGTGGAAACTCCAGACCTAAGCAAATGAGGTTTTGCTCACCTGGACACTCACAAAGGCGCCTATTCGTGAATCTCACATCCTGGCTTGGCCTCACCGATTAATGCGGCCCTGACCAAGTAATATGATCAACTAACGGAGGAAATCTGAAGTTAGTTGATTGCGGATAACCAAGTGTGCAACCAGTTGGTAAGCTGCTTTGCCAGTTGTACATTAGTGTACAAACTGATTGACCACCGTTTGCCAGGAAGTGGTGGGTTTTCGCCTGGCAAACGTTCTCCTTAAAATCCACAAATGTCCGGTTAACAACACCGCGACATGGCGAAGGTATCTCGCCAGTGAATAAAGTCACGGCCCAAACTACATATCGGCAAGTCGACCAGAAGCTTAATTCAATATTTTCTTGACGCGCACAAGAATAAGATACGCCAAGTCTACATGTACCGTTTTCACTACACCTATAGTGCCCTAACTGTTTGCACTACACAAAGGTTAACGTCGCGTATCGTCATTCCTTGAAGACGTTATTCCTTATAATCACTTTCACAATTTCCGCAGCTTGTACAACTTTCGGTTGACTGCCGATTAGCTATATAGCAACGTGTTTGTTCCGAAACAATTGCATATAAATGTTGATAACACCTGGTTTGGTGCGTCTCGAGAAATCTGAGAATAAGCTATTTATTCAGTTATTTATTTATCTTGTCGCAAGCTATTTTTATTTCTACATACTTATTCTGCGCTTCCCTATCAGATTAGGATGGTTATCAGTTGCACATACACCATTCAACCGCCACCTGTCTTTGAACTCTGCTTTCATTCTTCCCATACAACAGTTGCATTATATCCTCCCGATACTACGAGGATTGGGTACTGGTACAACTCTCACTTCCTTAGGTAGATGGCAGCAATCTGCCCGTACGGCCATTTCTTTCCATAGAGTCTTCAAAACATACTTTCAGCATACTCATACTTGTACATTGTACATCCTTTTGTCTCCACTCTAAACTTTATAATGAGGGACTTTAAAATCTTTCATTCCACGCTTACTCTGCGCGGACTTATTACGGTGGTCCTTCACTTTCCCTTCTCTCCGAGGTCCGGAACCCTTGGTGAACCGGGTTTGGATTGTGAAACAGAGTTTTCGTCCATAACAGGACATAATAACCCACATGGACATATATAGAACATGGCTACCGTCCAAAAGGATTCAACTGCACTAGCCACCACGACCGTTGTTCAGTGTGGATAGCTGGACAAGACGTCTTCACACTCCAGAAAAGTACACATAGCCTGAAAAATACAGGCTTAAAACATACTGAACATTTTGATTAGCTGGTCACACAACAATGCAACGCTTCATGACTCACCCATTCTCGACTGGCCACAGCGATTATGCCGGCCCTGACCAAGCTATCTGATCAGCCAACAGAGGAGATTGGGTCATTTGACTGCGAATAACCGTGTGTGGAATTAGTCGGCAAGCTGCTTTTCCAGTTTCGCATTAGTGTTTAAAAGTATTTACGGTAGTGTTCCAGGAGATGGTGGGTTTTTGCCTGGCAAGAGTTCTCCCTATAAATAGCCACAACTGTCGGTTAAACAACACTGCGGGGTGGCGGGTGTAACTCACCACTGAATGAAGGCCCTGCTTACAACTACACAGTGACATGTCGACTAGATTCATTTTGCAATTTATTCTTGAAACGTACAATTTTAAGATAATCTTTGTTTATAAAATTTTTTTCAATAAACTTATGGTGCCTCGACTGTTTGCACTGCGCACACCCGAACCAAAAGTATCGTCATTTATAGACGACTTTCTTCCTCATGATTACTTCGTCAATTTTCGCAGCCTGTACCACTTTCGACCATTGCCGAGTGCATACATAGCAACGTTCCAGTTGCGAAACATAATTGCCTGTAAATTCTGATAATGCTTGATTTGGTGTGCTTCCATTGCTTCGAGAATAATTTATTTAGTTATTTATTTAAAATGAAACGATAGTGTAGTTTCGTCCTTGCTCCTATCGGAGAAATAGCATCACTCCTGTTTCTAAAGTTTCGATCTGTTCCATCTCGCAGAGTAACGCTTGATATGTGACTACGCCCAAAGTTATGTGTTACCTTAGGCAGGAAGCATAAGTGAAGGAAAATGCTCCGCAGATACTGAGGTTAGTGTCTGAGCTGACCACACCGTTGGCTGTAACCAAATGCTTGGCATTGTAGGGCAAGCATTTTAGTGCAGTGGTATCTGCCATATGTGTTTTATCTCATCATATTACGTCTATTTCTCCACTTTTCACAGGTACTAAGTACGTACCTCTTCACAGTGGAATGAGCCCGAAGAACGATGCAGAACATTAACTCTTTTTACCAACTGTTATTCACCGATTCCATTGTACCCCGTTGTTGCTTTCTGACTCTCTGCGAATGCACATTCCCGGGCGCACGCTCTGTTCTCGCTCTTCTCCAGCTCGGCTGCTGTGTTGTGCACTGTAAACATTCCAACCCGAGAGCTAACATTCTCTCACTCTTTCCAGCTTACCGAACCTACTACGGATTTCACTCGGACTATTGCGCACTACAAATACGGCGTCGCGGGCTGCTTCCAAGTCCCGCTCCCATAAAGACGAGAACTCCAGTCCGCCCATTGTGAAATCAGGCGGAAATACGCAAAGATGTGTCACTCATGTCCTGCCATCAATTCTGCCACCTCCAAAATTCTGTGTTGGAATGGATCTTTCGACCTGGAGAGCGCGAATGGACACTTACCTTATACCTGTTCCAGCGGAATCTAAGGGTCGTTACGTTTTGTCATTCCTAGACGATAAAGTAAGGGATGTGCTGACTGCGATTGGCTTTCCCCCCGATGCAGATGCCGAAGCTGTGTGGTCTGATCTGGTGAGACTCTTCCCACACGCAGGGACGTTCGGACGCACGGCACCAGTTCTGAACAAGAACTCAGAGAGTGGGAGAGTCGGTAGGCGCATACTCAGCCGATCTGCTGCTGCTAGCCTCAAATGCGTTTCCCACACGTTCAGCCATCATTCGAGGCGAATTTGTTCTGGAAAGGTTCGTTGAAAGGATTACGGACCTGGCAACTCCTCGACGTTTCGCACGAAAACTACCTCTGTCGATCGAGGATGCTGTACTCATTGCCCGAGAATACGCCGCTGCCGCCCGAATTCCAGAGAAACCTAATTCCGTCGAATGCATGTTTCTGGCCACTGAGCGATCACGTCTACATCCGCCTCCAGCCCGCCAACATTTAGATGCCATCAGTAGAGCAGATCCCGTAAGGGCGGCCACAACAGTCAATCGAGCTTCACCAGACCGCTACGGAACACATGACACAACATACAATTCACGCCTTCCAACTTGGGTGAGTCTCTCGTCGTGCCCTTTATACATCACCATAATCATCACTCCCGACCACTCATTAGAGTTAATATTAACGGCATTTCAATTCTTGCCTTGATTGACACTGGAGCTACATGCACTTTGGTAGAACCTAAGTTCTGTCTAGGGCTTCGGCGATCAAACGTTAACACTCGCCTTTTGACAGCTAATGGCAGTGACTTAGTAGCCGAGGGCAGAGTCATGGCAGCTATGGTCTTGGGCAACCGCACGGTACACCACTCCGTTGTTTTATCCTCCCACATACCGTGGGATGCAATTTTCGGCATCGATCTACTTAGGAAAATGAAGTGTCACTTAATTATGGCAACAAGTCAGCTTTGGATTGGAGAATGCAAATTACATATGTGGGAACATAACACTTATGATAGTGAGGGTCCAATAACCGCATGCATGACTATCGATGATCAGGTACGAACACTTCTGACACCCGTAGAAGATGTCATCCCAAGCACGGCGTTCAGGAGATTGCACCAACTGATACGGAGTAAGGAAGCAGCTTTTGCATGGGAAGGGTCCTTACCAGGTCGCGCCAACACTATCTGCCATCAAATCGACACCGGCATGGCTGAACCGATAACAAAGAGACCTCGTCGTGTCCCTACCCAGTATCGGGAGGAACTGAGAAAAATGATTGAAGATAGGTTAGACGCCAAGATCATCATCCTATCGAAGTCACCGTGGTCATCTCTAACAGTCCTTGTGAAAAAGAAGAACGGATCTCTTAGGCTGTGCATAGACTATAGGAAACTCAACGACGTGACACGTAAGGACTCATTTCCCCTGCCCCGTATTGACGACACTTTAGAGGCCCTTAGCGGAGCTCAATGGTTTTCTACGCTTGATCTAGCTTCTGGTTACTGGCAGGTTGAAATCGACCCAAAAGATAGAGAAAAGACCGCATTCATCATACCCTCTGGTCTTTACGAATTTCAAACCATGCCATTTGGACTGACCAACGCTCCAGCTACGTTTCTGCGTTTGATAGAAAATTGTATTTAGAACCTTGATTCCCAATCAGTGTCTAGTGTACCTAGACGACGTAATTGTAAACGGCCGCTCGTTAGAAGAACATCTAGACAACCTCGGGTTGGTGCTGCAACACTTACATGATGCTGGGTTAAAGTTGAAACCACAGAAGTGTCAATTACTGGCTGGCTGGCTAGCCGAACAACCTCCTCGTGGTGCCAGCTGGGTGGTTCGGGTTTAACCCGTTCCAGCAAATAGTTCGGCGGCAGTGTTCTAGGACGTGGTGGGTTTTCGCTCGGCAAGAGTTCTCCCTATACAAAGCCACAAATGTCTGCTTATCAACCCTGTGACGTGGCGGATGTGACTCGCCACAAAATAAAGTCACTGGCCCGTAGACATCCGGAAAATGGTATCCAACCCACGGACGTCAATCGCTTATTCTCACATTCCTACCGATAACAAACAGTCAAAAATTCTGCGACACATTCAAAAATACAAGCTACATTCATAGACTATTGCGTACATACACTTACATTCACTGTTATGCCAAACATGTACTCTTTGTACATTTTGATCACACTATGTTAGCTAAACATGATCATGCCTGTACAGGTGTGCCTCGCATTGTCGAGAATAAACGTTTATTTATTTATTTATTATTTATTTATGTCATTTTTGGGGCACATCATTACGCCCTCTGGGATCGAGAGCGACCTGAGCAAATTCGAAACTATCCAAGGGTGGCCGGTCCCGACCTCCGCCGAGGATGTACGCCAGTTCCTGGGGCTAGCATCTTACTACAGGCGTTTCATTCGAAACCTCGCCGACATAGCTGGGCCGTTGCACCGCTTAACGGAGAATGGAAGAACATTAAACTGGACGCCTCAGTGCGCTAAAGCATTCGAATTCTTGAGACTGGCCCTCACAAACTCGCCGATCCTATCGTTTCCTGACATCTCCCCTTCGGCTGGTCAGTTTATCCTTGACGCTGATGCCAGCGACACCGGAATCGGCGCCGTCCTGTCCCAATTTGCATCCGATGGACTCGAACACGTGATTGCGTACGGAAGCCGGTGCCTGAGCAAACCAGAATGCAACTACTGTGTCACACGCAAAGAACTGAAGGCGTTAGTGGTTTATACTAAACATTTTCGACATCTTTTACTTGGTCAACGGTTTGTCGTTAGAACTGACCATCAAGTGCTCAAATGGCTACAGAGCTTCCGCGACTCAGAAGTGCAAGCCGTTCGGTGGCAAGAACTGTTGCAAGAGTACAATTTTGAGTGTGTCCACAGACCTGGCAGACAGCACTGCAATGCAGATGCTTTGTCTCGACGTGGCGGAAAACACCACAACAATTGCCCTTCATGCTCCCAACATCGGATAGACATCGTTTCTCTTGACAACTCGGACAGCGCGAAGTGGGCTACCTTGCAGAAGGATGATCCAGAGCTAAAACTTATCTACCACCGGCTGGTCACCGACGGAATCAAGCCTTCGAGAGCTGAGATGGCAGGCTTTAGCTGGGAAGCACACTGCATTTGGTCAGTCTGGTCGCGCCTGACTATCAAAGCCGAAATGCTTTATTACCAATATGGTTCGGGATATGTCAAACGGATAGTAGTGCCGCCGTCAAGAGTCAACGCTGTTTTAAAGGAACTTCACGCCGAACGTGGACATCCTGGTCAGTGAAAAATGGAAGAAGCTGTAAGTCAGCGGTTCTGGTGGCCTGATCAGCGGAGAGATATCGTTAATTTTTGTAATAGCTGTCAGGAGTGCCTCCGCGCAAAACCACCCCAACAGCCCCATCGAGCACCACTGCAACCTATAGCGACAGGATATCCAAATCAAATCTTCGCGTTCGATATTGTGAGCCCGTTACCAGAAACACCCAGGGGTAATCGTTTTGTTTTAGTTATGGTGGATCACTTCACCAAGTGGTGTGAAGCCGTTCCATCGTCGTGCACTAATGCAACTATGGTAGCCAGAAACATCTTTGAGCAATGGATCACTCGCTGGGCGCACCGGAGCAGCTACATTCCGACCGGGGATCAAACTTTGAGAGCATTATCGTATCGGAGATGTGTCACCTCTTAAACATCCGCAAGACACGCACCATGGCATACCACCCACAGGGGAACGGATCGGTTGAACGCGGTAACCGGTCCCTGAAAGCGCTCTTGAAGTCCTTCACAGACGAAAACGGGTCTCGAGAATGGGACATCGCACTTCCGCACTGTCTCCTGGCGTATCGTGCAACGATCCACAGTTCCACTGGTCACTCGTCACATCTACTGGTTACCGGCAGAGAGATGCGGCTGCCATTTGACCTCACGCTACCACGACTGGCACTGATCCACTACTGGCAACGGAATATGCCACAAATTTGCGAAACGATCTGCTTCGCGCACATCAGCTAGCTAGAGACTCCCTCGCGAACGCCCAGAAACATCAAAAGGACTACTATGATCTCCGGGTACATGGCCATCCAGTACAGCCCGGACAGTTGGTATATCTGCACTGTCCCACTCCACCTGTGGGTACGTCAGCGAAGTTACACAAAGTATGGCACGGACCGATTGTGGTGGATGAAGTTTATGATGATCTCACATGCAGAGTGACAGATAGGGGTCGATCGATTGTGGTGCATTTTAACCGACTCAAACCAGCCACGATGAGCCACCAAGGCGAAGCACGTCCTAACGAAGCAGAAGCACCTGTCCCAGCTGCACCAGAATGCGTAGAAATTACTACTAACCCTAGTGTTATCGAAACACAGACTGTTGACTGCGTCGCGGGCGACGCCAACTTTTTTGGGGGAATGATGTAATGGTATCTGCCATATGTGTCGTACCTCACCATATTACGTCTCTTTCTCCACTTTTCACAGGTGCTACGTACGTACCTCTTCACAGTGGAATGAGCCCGAAGAACGATGCAGAACATTAACTCTTTTTACCAACTGTTACTCACCGATTCCATTGTACCCCGTTGTTGCTTTCTGACTCTCTGCGAATGCACATTCCCGGGCGCACGCTCTGTTCTCGCTCTTCTCCAGCTCGGCTGCTGTGTTGTGCACTGTAAACATTCCAACCCGAGAGCTAACATTCTCTCACTCTTTTCAGCTTACCGAACCTACTACGGATTTCACTCGGACTATTGCGCACCACATTACTAAACCGCCAATAGGCTTTTTCCCGCAACCTGCGGCCTGAATTACGCAAGCTGCTACATATAAAAGCAAAGTAATACAAACTCGGGCAAAGGTGACTCCGGTACAGTACCAGACGTGCATTGACATTGTTTAGGTGGCGGCCTGGGTGAAAGTTAAATTGTCAAGCCTTTGCCACTTGAAAGTGAACTTGCTCAGAAATGTTGAGAGGCGTGGAGTAATGCAGGCCAAGGTCTTTTGCTGATGTATGGTGCAGCATAGGAATGTCGGTACCCGTGTGCGTCCCATCCTGTACTAAGCATTTGTAGGTCACGGAACCACCTCTTTAACGATCTAGCAGTTTAACAGTTGACATATCCGTATAGTAAACCATAACCATTATGAAGCTACGGTAGGTTATTAGTAATAATAAAAATACGAGGTGTATAACTCAGGTACTGGTTGCGACGAAACTCAGTAGGAACCCATACGGAAACCAATTATTTAAATAAGTATCTTGTCGGGCCCAACGTGTGTTGTAGAGAGATGCAATATGTACACATTTTTGTCTTGCTTTGTAAAATAAGGTATTAAGGTTCTGCTTTTTTGCAAAACGTTTCTGAATGAAGCACGCGCTTCCCGTGAAAGGAGAAAAACACACGTGGCACGGAATGTAGCAAACGTTACACAAAATCGGGAAAGCGGACTTGACCATTAACCAGCCTAACATGTCGGCTAGTTGCTTTGACTTGGGGCTGAGTTAGCATAGGGTCAAGAGTAACCGAGGGGCGTAAACTACCTGGTGCAGAAGATGCAGCTACGGGTGAGGTTAACGTTGCGGCTGTAGCAGGTAAATTTGCGGGCGGATGTTCAAAGTATGCCACATTCCCACGGTCGATGGACATCGTTGTGCGGTGGTCATGTTAGTGTAAGTTAAATGCTCAGGAGTTAGTTGAAGAACTCTGCAGTAGTCTGTGGAGGGAGGATGGAGAAGAGAAAGCACTGCGCCTTAGAGGACGAAAATATGCCTGCCGGTACAGAGTCCACTATGTAGCTGCACATCGCTGCTCTGCTTACGAGGAGAGATCGGGTGGAGCGAATGCATGCGTCGCGAACAATAGGCTACGATATTTAAGGTTGGCATGCACGATGGCAAGGGTAGCGAAAGGAACTCTTAGGGAAGCTTAAGGGGTGTGACATAGACCAGTTCTGCTGATTCTCGCTGCAGCTAGGCTGGTTGTTGTTGCGGATACCTAGAAGTACTGACTAAATGCTTTCTCTTTATCCGGGGTCAGAATTAACACAGAGAGCCGACAAACTGTCGATGGAAGCGTTCGAGGAGTTAAATACCCGCAGAGTGCTATGCCTACCTGTGAATACGGCGGCAGCCTACTTTGTTACTGAACGTATTGAATTGCAAATATTTGAGGTCGTTTTACGGGCGGTGGCTATGATAGATGGGCAGCCGTAGAAACCCAATGGTCCAAAAACGCCAAAATGACTGTTTCGGCCGTGCAGTCTAATAAGGCCAACTGCTAGCATTTAGTGAAGCGGTCAAAATATGTCAGTATGCGTGCGGAGTCCCGAGTGGAAAGCGAGGATGCTATCAGGTCTAAGTGTTTGTGTGAGCACCGCGAACCCGGAGCACGGAAAGTACCTAGATGACTGCGAGAGGGTCGGTGTAACTTGTGTCGGTGGCATTGAACACAAGCACGAGCCCAGTTACAAACATCTTTGTTTACGCTTGGCCAAACAAACCGCTCTACCAATTGCAAAGAAGCACGCATACCAGTGTGTGATAGGGGGTGGAGAGCGTCGAAGCCTTTGCGCCTGAA